GGAGTTGGAGGTTGCTGTGAGTTATGATGCAACAGCACTCTACCCAGGGCGATAGCTTGAGACTCTGTCTCAAAAAAAAAAAAAAAAAAAAACATGTGTCCGAGGTTCATCTGTGTTGTCGCATATGGCAGAGTTCTGTTCCTTTTTAGAGTTGAATAACATTCCCCTGGATGGACATACCCCATTCTGTTCATCTGTTCAGCTGTGATGGACACAGGGTGGTGGCCATGTTGTGGCTTTGGTGAGCAGAGCTGTTGCCTGCTCTCTTACCCCAAGATGAGCAGCTGGGAGTCTCCTGGGCCCTGTGCAGAGGCAGCAGCATCCTTCCTTTCCACTGTTTATGGGATCCCTTGTGTGACCGCACCACTTTAACTGTCCTGCTGCTGGTCATTTAGGTTGTTTGTCCCCATCCCCTAGTGTGCTTAGAGTTCTGGAGAACATATACTCAGGAGTGGAGCTGCGGGGTCCAGGGTTTGTTTATGTTCACCTCTACTTGATAAATGAAAAGAATTCATGCCAACTTTGACCCCCACCTTTTTTTTCCCTTATATACAAATTCTTGGTGCACTTGAGATTTGTAATGTGAGCTGTGGTATGTTTTCTTATCTGGCTAGGCACTTGTTCCAGGGACATTTATTGAATAGTCCCATCTTTTTCCTGATAGGAGGCGCCAGCTTTATTCTGCCCTGAATTCTCCCAGTGGTCACATCCCCACTGGACTCTCTGTGCTAATGTTGCATTGCTTTAGCTTCTGAGTCTGAAGTCACTCATGGCCACTAAGAAGACACCCTGTATTAACTTAGCCCTTTAACCCTTCACTTTGCATCCCTCCTTGTTGTTATAGCTAGGGAAACTGAGGCACAGTGCAGTTTGGGTTTGGTCTTTCTTGTAACAAACTGTGGGGTGGATCTTGGTGTGTATGAGGGTATAGTCTAACCATACTCCTTGGGAACCTAGGAGTACGGTTCAGAGGAGGTGGAGGTCTAGGCAGGACCCTCTTTTTTTTTTTTTTTTTTGGAGACAGAGCCGCAAGCTGTCCCCCTGGGTAGAGTGTTGTGTTACCACAGCTCACAGCAACCTCCAACTCCTGGGCTCAAGAGAGTCTCCTGCCTCTACCTCCCAAGTAGCTGGGACCACAGGCGCCTGGCTATTTTTTGGTTGCAGCCGTCATTGTTGTTTGGCGGGCCTGGGCTGGATTCAAACCTGCCACCTTAGGTGTATGTGGCTGGCACCTTAGCCACTTGAGCCATAGGCGCCGAGCCTAGGCAGGACTCTCTTACCAAGACTTGGACGCCAACAGAGCTGGGGTTGACACTTGAATCGTTATTTCCTCGTCATGTGACCTAGAACAGGGTCTCAGTTTTTTCTGTAAAGTAGGGATGAGAATCAGATGAGCTGCTGGGATAGAACGGGAAGGGGTTGGCATTGATGTGGGTTGGGTAGTTGGCTGTTTATTGCCATCTTGTCATCCTGCAGTCCAGTGTTGTCCCAGTAGGTACAACTTCCCATCCCTCTTGGGCCCCTGCCTTCACTCCTCACCTCAGCCTGACACACCCCACTGACCCAGCCTTTCTCCAGAATTAAGCTGCATCCCATAGGTGGTCTGTGAGTCTTTGTGTCCCTGCCCATCCACTGCAGGCCCAGCCTCCTCTCTGCCTCAAGCCTGTGGCTCCTTTGAGTAGTCTTTGGTGTCTCAGCTCTCCCTACCTCCTTCCCAGACTCCCTCAAGGGCAGACACCATTCGGCCCCAGGCCTGGACCTCACCAGACCTTAAAGTGCCAGATGGGGTACCTGGGACTGCAAGGCCACAGAGGGTGATCCTATTCCCTTGCCTTCTTTGCCCCTGGCAGGTGCCAACATTGCCTCTGGTGAAGAAGTCGCCATCAAGCTTGAGTGTGTGAAAACAAAGCACCCCCAGCTGCATATCGAGAGCAAGTTCTACAAGATGATGCAGGGGGGAGGTGAGGGCCGGGAAGGGGCCCAGAGCTGTAGCAGTGAAGAGGGTGGGGGGGTGGGAGTGTGACCACCTCTGACATTCCCCTGTCTGGCTCCCAGTGGGGATCCCATCCATCAAGTGGTGTGGAGCTGAGGGGGACTACAATGTGATGGTCATGGAACTGCTGGGGCCCAGCCTCGAGGACCTTTTCAATTTTTGTTCCCGAAAATTCAGCCTCAAGACGGTGCTGCTCCTGGCCGACCAGATGGTGAGTCCACACCCACCCACCTTGGCCAGATGTCTATGAGCCCTTCCAGGCAAGCCACTGCCCAACCACCCTCTACTTCCCTTTCGTGCCTAGGATACTAACCCTGCCTCCAGAGGGTGCTGGAGGAGGGAACAGTGGTAGAGACATAGGGCAGGCCTGGACCAAGGGACCTCAACTTCCAGCTGTAGAATTCTGGAGGTATTTGTTTAAAATGCAGATTCCAGGTGGTGCCTGGGGTCACACAGACCTGGATTCTGTCCCAGAGTGGTAACCGTCCGGAAATTGCTAAGCCTCTCTGAGCCTTGCTTGCCTCATGTGAGAGCCTCCCCTTTGTGGGTTGTTGTGGGGATTAAGTGGGTACCATGCAGTGCCGGGCCAGAGTGGGCCCTGCTAACGAACAGTTGGTAGGTCCTAAGCTCTTCATAAGCACAGAGGAGCAAAGCTTCTTAGAAATAAGAAACCATAGAATTTGGGGCCTGGAATGGAACAGGGAGATCTTGCCGTGGAGTTTTAGTCTTCATCTGCAGCTGGCCTGCAACGTGTCTGCAAATGCTGTGGGATTTCAGTTAAATGTGTGTGCATAGAGGAGGGTCGTCACAGTCTCAAAGGGTGTGAGGCTCAAGTGGTGCTCAGCTATGCTTGAAGCCTGAGGCCTAGAGCAATGTGACCTCCAGACGATGTGTTATGGGTATGGGTATTAGTTTGAATTTTCTTTTTTTTTTTGGAGCCAAGAGTCTCACTATGTTGCCTTCACATAGGGCATCACAGCTCACAGCAACCTCAAACTCGGGGTTTGAGGCAAGAGTGATTCTTTTGCCTCAGCCTCCCAAGTATTTGGGACTACAGACACCTGCCACAATGCCCAGCTATTTTTGCAGTTGTCATTGTTGTTCAGCTGGCCCAGGCTAGGTTCGAAACTGCCACCCTTGGTGCATGTGGCTGGCACCATAACCACTGTGTTACAGGCACTGAACCTTAGTTTGAAATTTTTGAAATGGCTTATAGGAAAGAAAGGGCTGTGTGCCTGACTTTAGCATCCTCTGAAAGCTGGGAGATGAGTTCTATCTTTTGTGCTCCATCTCTGTCATCCCTGCTGAGTTTAGGCTTCCCTGGTGCTCCTTGCCTACTCCCTGCCCCCCAGTCCAGTTGCCTCTATGACTCTGACTCCCCACATCCCACAAGGGTAGAGCCAGGACAGCGTCTGTAGGGGTCTGGACATCTTTCCAGGTTTATCTTCATTTCTGAATCTTACCATTAGCTTTCTTACCTTCCTCATGTCTCATAACAAAGTTGGTGAATTCTTCCTTCAGAGTTCATCCTAATGTCACTTCTTTCAGGAAGCCTTTCCTGATCTGCCCCTGGAAATCATCCTTTATAGTTGAATGCAGATCTTTCTCCCTCACCAGGGCAGGGATCATGTGTGTGTTTTCCATTTCTGTGGCCCCAGCTCAGGCCTGGCTCAGAACACTTGGTGAAGGCCCCTCCATTGAACACTTGGTGGCTTGCTCTTCCTCCCTCCCCTCCCCAGATCAGCCGTATAGAGTACATTCACTCCAAGAACTTCATCCACCGGGATGTCAAGCCCGACAACTTCCTCATGGGGCTAGGGAAGAAGGGCAACCTGGTCTACATCATCGATTTTGGCCTGGCCAAGAAGTACCGGGATGCCCGCACCCACCAGCACATCCCCTACCGGGAAAACAAGAACCTGACCGGCACTGCCCGCTATGCCTCCATCAATACCCACCTGGGCATCGGTGAGCAAGCTATCCCCACAACAGAGCATACCTATAGCTACCGGCCATGACCTTTCTTAGGCCCTCCCGCCCTTACAGAGGTGGAGGGGACCTGGGCACTTTCATTGTCAGCCTTTCTGCAAAAGTCCTGACCCTGCCTGCCCCTAAGCCTGGACTCACTCCTGACCTCACACAAAGTTGTGTCTTCCCCTTTGCATGCCCAGTCCCACCCTCACAACAGCCCCATTGAGTGGGTGAGGACATATCCTTGTTTTTGTGGGCTGGGAACACAGGCTCAGGTTTTACACAGGCTGCTTGAGGTCATGCAGCTCAGTGAATATCAGAGCTGGATTTGACCCTGGCCCCCTCTGTGCCAAAGCTTGTGCCCCCTTCTTGGTGGGCCAGGCACTGTGGGTACCCACTTGTAGTCAGTGAATGGTTAAGTACCTGAGCTAAAAACCAGACCCAAACTGAGTTGAGGAAGCTCTGCCTTGGGCCCCTTCTCTGTAGGAGGAAGACAATAGCAATGCCTGTTCAAAACAGAGTTGCAGCAAGCTGGCATGTGATGGGGGTGCTGGGTACAGAGTGAAGAACATAACCTGGAGGAGGAGCTGGGGGCCTGAGTGGACCCCACCCCTCACTTTGCTTTCAACTCTGCATGCAGAGCAAAGCCGTCGAGATGACCTGGAGAGTCTGGGCTACGTGCTCATGTACTTCAACCTGGGCTCCCTGCCCTGGCAGGGCCTCAAAGCAGCCACCAAGCGCCAAAAGTATGAGCGAATCAGCGAGAAAAAGATGTCAACGCCCATCGAGGTCCTCTGTAAAGGCTACCCCTGTGAGTAGCCAGAGTAGCCTGGGGACTCCTTGAGGCCCTTTCTGAGGGGAAGGTGAGGCCACACAAAGCCCATGCTGGGCTACAACAGCCCTTGGCACCAGAGTACTCACCAGAGCTCTCTGCCGCTGCTCAGGCATACCTGGAGGTCTGGACTGCCTGGGCCTGGCTGCTCTGTACCATGTGTTCCTCAGCCACATTCTTGCCTTAGCTCCCAGGGGCCTTGCCCCCCATTGCAACTTTTTTTTGAGGAAGATTTGAAAGCTTTCCTCCTACTGTTTAGGTTGTGTTGGGAGGTCTGATCAGGCTTGTGAATGTCCCTTTGATTCCCTGAGAGCTTGGGAAGAGAAGGTAAAAGGATTCTGAGCAGGTCAGGTCTTTACTTCCTCAGATTTCAGAGGCTCTGCCCTCAGGCAGGCTGGGGGTTTTTTGGTTGTTACTTATTTATTTGAGACATAGTCATGTTATATTGCCCTCAGTAGAGTGCCATGGCATAGCTCATAGCAATCTCTAACTCTTGGGCTTAAGAGATTCTCTTGCCTCAGTCTCCCAAATAGTTGGGACTACAGGGGCCCTCCACAATGCCCAGCTATTTTTTGGTTTTTTTTTTTTT